CTTAACTACAACAAATATCACATACTTTAACACTTTTATTCAAGTAATATTCCTAAAGGAGACTTTAACTTTTATTAAAGTCATTTTTTTGTTAAGATACTTGTACTTTTACTCAAGTATCACTTTGTGGTACTTTATACAACACAGGCCTGCAGGTTGGTGGTTTTAGTGCAGAGGTTCTCAACTGGGGTCCAAGAGCCCTATCTTCAGGGGGCTAAATAGTTATTTTGTGTTTTATTTGAAAAATTAACATGGGGAACACTAGTAACAAACATACTAAACCAAACCAAAAATAATAATATTTTTATAGTATTTAAGGGTTAAAATGGCAGTAAATTATTTCTAAAACAGCATGGGGTGTACCAGGGAGGGTCCCTGGAAATTTTTCTGACTTGTTGGGGTCCCCAGACCCAAAACCGTTTGAGAAGCCCTGGATGAGTGGGCCAGAGGTCCCGGACTGTGCAGGTGGAGCTGCTGGGAGCCGGCAGGGCGGGACGCAAAGGTTTGTTTACATTTTCACAGGGGGTCGAGGGGAGCTCCATTCACAACAAAAAAACAAACAAACAACATAAATAAATAAATAATTAAAAAAGAAGAAGAAAAAGAAGAAGAAACTAGACGAAGCAGGCTGCAGATAAACACGCCGCATGTTTACACACAGCGTTAGCACGAGGACACATTCCTGATTCATGTGCGCGCGGCACAGAAAACAAACCGACCGCTGAACAACAAACCGTTTTTAGCCCCGGTTAGCTCGAATAAAAGAGCAGCAAAGGCCGAGCCGTGCCGGGCCGAGCTAAAGAACGCGACTCGGTTAACAACACGGAGGAATGTCAACAAAGAGAGCGGCTGGTTTGGAAACAGGATGCGGATTCTTGCTAACGTGCTAAAAGCACGTGGTCCTTTCGCCCCTCGTTAGCTTAAATAAACCAATGTTGTTAAGTTTAGCTGCTCGGCTAACATCCACATGTCCCCGTAAGGAACGGGTGGCGGTGCGGAGGGGGACTTACATTCGTGGTAGCTGCAGAGGAGGGGCGCCCCGGCGGAGGAACACTCCGTCCACAAACACCCCGTTTTTCCCCAGGCACCTCAGGTAGAAGTCCCCGCCGCCCGTGCCGTCGTCGCTGGTGGTGAAAATCTCCAGGTGCCTCCGCGAGATGAAGCTGGAGTGGCCCATGCTCACGTCCACGGAGCCCTGAGAGGAGTTCCGGCCGATGGTCACCGACCGCTTCTTCATCATGTATTCGAATTCACGGCCCTCGAGCCGGGCGACCGGCCCAGACGATCCGCTAACCACAGCCATGATGCTCGGAGGGGGGGTTCGAGCCTCGAAACGTTAAATGAGCCCGTGAGGGAGGGAGGGGTGAATAAAACGGCACTGCGCTGACTGTGGCCCAGAGGGGGGGCAAAAAATGAGCAAATCTACAAGAGGGGCATCAAACTGAAAACAGGGATCCAAAGGGAAACATGCGAGGCCAGAGAGCGGCTCCRACCCACCGCCGAGAGAAAGGCGAGCGGAGACAGCCAACCAGATCAGCCGGAGGCCAGCGGAGCGGGACTGACGGGCGTCTCCGCCAATCAGAGTCCAGGACGCGGATTGAGTGCTGCGGATCGGACCAATCGCGCGCGAGAGTAAGCAGAGGACACAGTCAAGGTCGGTTGGTGTGCAGGCCCGGTGTTGCCAGATTGGGCTGGTTTCCGCCCAGTTGGGCTGCTTTTGAACTTGTTGGGCTGGAAAAGACAGCTTTGGGCTGGTTGTTAAAATTTGGGCTGCTTTTTTACCACATTTGGCGAGTTTTTAGAAAGTATTCATAAGGAAATATGTCAAAATATCGAGTGTCAGTACGAAGTCGTGTCGTTAATATCAACTGTAAAAGCACCAAACAGAGAGGAGACTGGGTTTCTGTTTCTGAGGACCTTCCTCCTCCTTCTGCAAAACAATACAAGGACCATTAGTTTAATTTTGTTATGCATATACCTGCAGCGAACACCTTTACCC